AATTAGAATCAGAACTGAAAACATTAAATCTAGCTCATATTGATCACTCAAATTCTCATCATGGCGTAAGATTAAAACAGAACTTCTGCTAGGTCTACTCAACATAAAAAAAAATAAAAATTAACTCCAATATTGTTGTATACAAACCATTCAGAAAATTTTAAAAACTTTAACAAGTGTGCATGTCAAAAGCTTCTTACTGTCCCCGATCGGCATCCCGTGGGGGCAAAGTGTTAAAAGCATTTTAATGCACGTTGAGTAGAAACAGCATTGTCAAGGGTTTCGGAGACGAACAACTCCACTGGCCGATCAACTGATATTCATTTGGAGTAGAACTTTATCAAAATCTAATGAAAAGCCTTTTTTCTCAAAACTTTGTTTATGCATCCTACCTAACAATATTCATCACATCTCAAAAAGTACTGAAGGTATCTTAATTAACAATTTTAAAAAGCAAGTCGTTTAAAATGATTTTTGTTCTAGAAGTACAATAAAATGCAATTCCTCAAAATGCAGAAAAAGTAGGCTACCTTTCACCAAGCACACACACACATTTGTTTATATTCAATCAAAATGGCCATGAACAGGCTACATAGTTTTCTCTGTTTGTGAAATAAGAATTATTTTAAGGTGAGAATAGAAAACTAAAGTGTGAAACCCACTTCCTTGGGCTACAGAAAAAGAGAAAATGGAAAAAATACATTTATTTTGACTGTATAAAAGTATTGTATGAGTGAACCAGTGGCAATACTCTTAAAACACAGTAAAAAGAAGTGTATGAACAGAGTGTGTTTGGTCAAACACATTGAGCATAATCCCTGAAGCAACCCATACTAAGCTCTAGTTTTCAATGAAAAAAAGAAATCTGTCTCACTGGCAATTGACAAAAGCTGAACACTCTGAGAATTCATGAGGACATTATAGACACTGTAACAACAAAGTGAAATCATTAATAACATCTGCCAAATTCATGTATTATAACGGAAAAATGAATGAATGTACTACCTCTAAAGCTTTATTTTTTATAACAAATCAGTTGTCAGGTTAGAAAGATCTGGCCAGCGACAAGTTTCCCACGAATGTTCCTAAAAGTGACTTTCCTGATGTTTTTGGTCAATACTTTAGAGACAAGATATCCACGATTAGGAAAAAAATTGACAGGAGTCCCCATAAACTACCCTGTTTTGAAACATTCTCTGGGGTAATCTTTAATGAATTTGTAGCCTACATGTAACACAAGAGGATGTAAGATCAATCATACTGTCATCACTCTATAAAACATGTAGTCTTGATCCCATTCCAACACCACTGCTCATCACACATCTTGAGAGTGTCATTGGATTTATGACTTCCATAATTAATGAGTCTCTTCAGTCAGGAGTAGTGCCATCACTATTTAACTCATTCGCTACGCCGAGCCGTGGGCAACGGCGCGGCGAAAAGTGTCTTCCGTACACCAAGCCGTCCCCGACGGCTCGAGAAGCGACCTATAGTTCTAGCTTCGATTTTATTCCAATTCACATATATCCATATATTAAAATAAAGGTTATAATATAACGTTGACTTCCGGGTCAAGCGTTTCCACTGAAAATAGGAAGTTTAGACTCAGTTTGGAAAAGCGATTTCGTAGGTTATGCGACTTTGTTTCATCGCGATGCCCAAACTATAACCCATTTTTTAGTACTTTTACACATCAAAATGTATCATTATTTTGCTTACTAAAGAAATGTAAATCTAGGACTCTTCTTTATATTGATACTATACGCCTCAGATTGCCAGTGTACTGTTATTGAGAAGTCAATATTTTTTAGTGCTAGATCTCTAAATCTAGATCTAGATCTACATTGTCAAAATATTTTTTTCCGCCCAAAAATCACACTTTTTGGTGGAATTACACAAACAGTACCACTCGAGACATGTAAAGATTTATTCCAAATGAAATTCTGAATAATTCCATACATGATATGAGTGTTTTTTTCTGTTTGAGAATGCATCTTGTCCTTTTTTCAAGATTACAAAAAAAAATTTTTTTTTTCTCAATATCGGCTGTTATGATCCAAATGTACAAATTTTATGGAATGTACGTAAATAACTGCAAATTTTTCAATATTTTCCAGTCTATTTTCAATTATGGTTATTTTGTTGTATCATTTGATATTTTTTTGAGTTTCACCAAAGATTATATGAATTTTTTATTTTCAAATTTTATACGCATCCAAGCAAAATTCTGTTGCATAATCACCTCTTACAGGAACCAAGGTTGGAAAATATACAAATAAACATTACAGTTGTATTCTACAAACCGTACTGAAAATTTTGGTATATTATAATAAGTTGATATTTATTTGAATGTGTGGCCCCAAAGACTTTGAACTGCATACTAGTCTTCATCTCATTTCGCCCTCCCGAAAAAAATTCGTCCACAAGCCGAAAAAAATATGTAGCGAATGAGTTAAGCATGCTTTTGTTATTCCCCTTCTCAAAAAATCAAATCTTTCCCCGGAGGAGCTCAAGAATTTCAGACCTGTCTCCAACCTTCTCTTTTTATAAAAAATCATGGAGAAAGTTGTTTTGGTTCAATTGAAGAATCATTTAAAAGAAAACAATTTATATGAATTATATCAATCTGCCTATCGGCAATTTCATAACTCTGCAACTGCGCTATTGAAAATATATAATGACCTCTTGTGTGAGGCGGATGAGAACAAAATATCAATTCTTTCTCTTCTTGATCTTAGTGCTGCCTTTGACACTATAGATCACACTATTCTTATTGAACGATTGTTCAACATGTTTGGCCTGTCTGGCAGGGTTTTTGACTGGTTCAGGTCCTATCTGTGGTTGTACACGACTCTCTTTCGTCAATTTTTAAACTAGACTTTGGAGTACCTCAGGGTTCAGTATTGGGTCCAATCTTGTATACGTTATAGACACAGTCGCTTGGAACTGTGATCAGAAAGCACAATATATGAATTATCACATGTACGCAGACGATGCACAGTTATATAAATCTGTTCCACCATCAGATGTTAAAACCTTGCTTACCACCATGGGTCTGTGCATTGATGATGTCAAAAACTGGATGATTGAAAATTAGCTCCAGCTTAATATGAAAATAAAACTGAAATTCTTTTATGTAACCCAAAGAAAAGTCATATCCCCATAGACATTGATCATATTTGTACTGAATATGAAAAGCTGTATTTTACTGATAAGGCAAAAAAATCTGGGAGTGTATTTTGATTCAAAATTGTCAATGGAACATCATATCAATTATTTATGTACCATTTTATTTTGTGAATTGCGTAGAAATGGTCATACGTCTATGTTTTTGAATGAACACTTGTTGAAAACGCTTGTGTCATCTTTCTTGTTTTCACACATCAATTATTGCAATGCTTTACTAGCTATCTTACCAAATACCACTTTTCACACTTCACAAGTTACAGCGTTTTCAAAATCATGCTGCTAGGCTTGTAGGCCTACTAAAGAAAAAGAAGAGGGATCACATTACTCTCATGTGAAGAAAGTTGGATTGGCTTCCCGTGTCAGCTAGAATGTCATATAAAATTGCAATATTATTTCATAAACATGTCAATAACAAAGCTCCCTCATATTTTAGTGATCTCATCCAGATTTTTGTTCCATCTAGATGGTAAAAAATTAGCTGAAAGATCGTTTGCACATCTTGCTCCATCAGTTTGGAACTCTCTTCCCCCAACCCTTGAGACATACAACATCTGAGTCTAAATTTTAAAAATCTTTAAAGACACATTTAATGACATCATTTTTATGTCAGTAGATTCATGTTCAGTACAACGTTATGTTAATGACTATGTATCCATTTATGTATTTTGCGAATTGCATTGTGTATATTATTTTATTATGTCATGTGTATGTGCTCATTTCGTAACGATGTGTAAGCGTGCGGGTGTGATAAGCAAGTAGATGTATGTGTGTGTGTGTGTGTGTGTGTGTGTGTGTGTGTGTGTGTGTGTGTGTGTGTGTGAGAGTGTGTGTATGTGTATGTGTGTGCATGTGTGTGTGTGTGTGTGTGTGTGTGTGTGTGTGTGTGTGTGTGTGTGTGTGTGTCTGGCGAGCATGTGTGTGCACATGTGTGCATGTATTGTAATGTATGTGTGAGTGTGTGTGTTTGCTTGTGTGTGTATGTGTGTGTTGTAGTGTGTGTGTGTGTGTGTATGAGTGTGTGTATGTGCGTGTGTGTCGCGGCGTGAATATCCTTCGTGCATGCATTTAGGTAAAGCGCCTAGAGTTGTGTTTACAGGGGAGTGGGCGCTATAGAAATGATCTTCATTATTATTATTACTCTAAGACATCTGAGGTGTCAACTGTCTGCCAAAAAAATTCATGAACTTTTCAGACATCATGGAAATGTGCTCGGACACTCACAATTTATGGATTATATTTACTGCATCCTATAATAAGCATAGTCTATATGTTTTAGAACTAACTTTAGTTGATCAGCCTGAAGAATGGCAAAATAAGAAAAATTTCAGAAGTCCAGATTTTGGATTTATTTGGAAAATCGGCACCTCTGAGAAATGAATAAATGGCAGACGTACGACTTGTTTCACACACATTAGAAGAAATAAATTTACCCTACAAAACAAGGATCTCTATGAACAATACTTTGCCAAGATCACATAAGTTTTATACAACACAAGCTTCTTTATAAATTCGTAAAAAGAAATGGTATCATTGTGCTAAGTATTCAGCTGTTATCTAGCACTTCTTTTGACCAGACGGATGATCGACTAGATACTCTTCACTTTGTATGAATTCAAGCTTAATATGTGAGGCATCGTGGTGAAATCAGGTGCTCGTCAAAATAATGAAATCAAAGAAATCTGCATTTTTAGGGATGTTGGGCAATTTTTTTTCTAATTTTCTTTTTTTGGCTCAACATCTTTAACGTCCATTAAAAAACACATTCATAACTGAAAAACGTTGATCAAAGGTTCAAAAGATGTAAATTTGAATTTTCCAAGGACTCTCAAGCTTTGGTAGTCACCAAATTTTGTCGACCATTTTCTTGCTAATTTTATTTCTGAAACCAAGTAACACCATCTCCTTCAATTGCAAATATCTCACCTCTTATCAAAGATTGATGTCTAATTTTCTCAACGAAAGCATCAGAAACCCTGATTGTTCCACAAACATCGATGAAGAACTGTGCAAATCGTAGAGAGAATTCTGATGGCATGAATTTAAAGCTTTATGACGATCCACATGCCCAAAAATTGACGAGCGCCTCATTCCACCACGTCGCGACACATATAATATGGACACCTCTTTTCCAAATTGTGAAGAAATACAATAGTATTCATTAGCACACTTTTCTCACATGTCCTGCTGCAGCACGTCATTTGTAAATTAACTGATTGTTCCACAAACATCGATGAAGAACTGTGCAAATCGTAGAGAGAATTCTGATGGCATCAGAAATCCAGAGCAATAGTGTTTTGTTCCTTGCACTAACAAAGACAACTGATCAGATAGTTGTTGACCTTGAGTTGACCATGAGTTGGCACAATAAGGACAAGATGTTGTTTCATTCTCTCTTGCTGCTCATACAGGAGAGACTGAGGTCACCGATTGATCCATCTTCGTGTAGACTCTTCCCAATCTGTGTTACCTCCCTCCTCATCGTCGGTACGAATGAATGATTCATCATCCGTCTGCAAGAAGCTCTCGTCATCAGTGGTATATCTGCTGTTCGTCATCTCCTGAAATACATACAAATAAAAGCTGATCTATTTTTAAAAATGCCGGACTCCTTATTCACTAAATAACCCGGAGGAAAAAAATGGTTTTTGTATCTTTCTAGAGTTGCAGTGTCTGACTGTAAACAGCAAACGGATACATGTAATAATTTACCCACAATACTTTCTACATCAATAGCTTAAGGTCACCAACAAGTCAAGTTTGAAATTTGTTTGCTTGTTAATGGTCATATGAACGCACGAAAAAAAAAGTTAGTTCCATTCGCAACAGTTCACTGCACAGCCTGATTCTGGTCAACACCTCTACTAAAATGTTAAAATACAAAAAATTTGATGTAAATAAATTTTAAATTTAAAATTACTTTTTAAAAAATATAAAAAATTTCAATGTTCATTACAATTTTCCATAAACGCCAATGGATTTTATAAAATCAAGGATTCTGTTGGAATCAACGACGGAAAACAGATCTTGCAATTTTTTGCATCTAAAATATTTCCTTCGGGTCTCTCTGAAGTCTAGACATTCTGTTAAAATGTGTCTAATGGTAAAATCTGTATCGCATCCGACATAAAACGGCTTCTCATCTCCCTGAAGGAGTTATTCATGTGTCAGGGACGTGCGTCTGATGCGTAATCGAGTAAAAACCACTTCCTCTATTCTGGAGAGGCCCGAAGGGCTTAATGTTGTGAAGTTTGTTGTTTTCTTGCTTTTTTCAATGAGGCTCCCACAGACTGGAGGTATAGTTCTTGACTTTATTTTTAAAGTAAGTTTGTGGGAGAGTGTTTGTTGTTGATCCCAACAGAAGGGATAAGGATTCTTTTGCCAGGAGGTCAACTTGTTCGTTTCCTCGAATGCCCACATGGCTAGGTAGCCATGCAAATACGACACCTTTCCCGGTTTCAGCCAAAACGTGTATTTTTTGTTGTAATCTATCAATTTTTGTGTGTAAGAGTGTGTAGTTTGTAAGTGAGGTGATGCAAGACAGAGAGTCAGATAGGATAAGGAAAGTTTTGCTAGGAGATTTTTCTACAGAGTCAAGTGCCATGTCAATGAAATTTTCACTACAACCTTGCTTTAAAAAAGTCTAGACAACCAAATATTTGGTGAGACAACCATTTACGCAAAGCAAAGGCCTATGATGTGCAACATGTGTGAATCCAGTAGAACACTCGATTTGCCTCAGTAAGATTAGTGCTGTGCTCGAAGAACTTAAAACAAACTTGTTCAAAGAATCATAAGGGAAAATTATCTCAGAATGTCTGATTCTGATGTCTTCCATGCATTTACTGAGTATCAATGACAGGCAATTGAAAATGGCCTCTTGGAAAGCTGCGGGGCCGAGCGCTTTTCCCTATGACTATCATCACCAATAATTTCCTCATGTCTGTTCCCGATGTTATAGTTCAGTACAGAGATTCTGTCTTTCTGCTTCCATCTGCCTCTTTGCACAAGTTCATGTAAACGCACATTCAGTATAAACACACGCTAAAGAGCCCTCCTAAGCACCATGCGTTTAGGCGGCGGTGTCTACTGTACTTTCAGGAAGCAAGGCAGCCCTATTACAATTCAAGTGTTGAATTGGAATCCACTAGGTAAGAGATCAAGGAGAAGGCCATGTGGAACCTTGAGAACAGTCACAGAGAATGATGTACAGAAGAGTGGGAAGACATAGAATAATGTAATGAAGCTAGCCCACGATAGGGAAAGATGAAAAGTGTTTGTTTCTAGCTAAAACCCTGATGCAGGGTGAGAAAGGCAATAATGATGATGACGAAGATTATCTTGCATCGTAGAGCTCAGAAATAAAACTAAATTGAATGACGATTCTAAAATGGGAAAGCAAAACCAAACTCTTCAATTCTAGAGATCAGTTAACATCACAATGAAAGGGTAGCCCAAAATATTAATACGTTTTTTTTTCTCCTTTTTTCTTTGGGAGGGTTGGTTTGCCTTTTTGGGGTTGTATGTAGACCAAATAAGCATTCTCTTAAGTTTTTTTTTTTTGTGATCCCACTTAAGGGACATTAACTCGGTTATTAGTGCATTAATTTCAACAAAATTTCGAACAAATAAAATTCAACCAGGGGACATCATGTTTGTAAATAAGAAGAAAATCCATCAATGTCTCTGAAATATCAAAAACTTGTGACCAAATTTGGGTAAAACACAAAATTTCACTTCTTAGAAATGTTCAGCTACATGGGCGTGATCAGCTCGTTCTGGTTTCAGGACAAGGAAAGTGAAACCACAACAGTCACATCAGATGGATATCTTGCAGAACAGAGAAAAATTTGGAGAAGTCTCGGTAGTAGAAGGTGTTAGGCTGAGAGGCCAGTGGGATGGTGCCACATTGAAATGTCTGGAGTGGCCCTTTTGTGGTTGTAAGAAAGGTTTGGAGAAAGCCTTAGGACAAAAGTTTACAAATTAATGGTACCACATCCCCCCAAACTTGAGCCCTTTAAATTATTACAATTCGGGTGTTTCTGACAGACAGAGTCCATGTAAACCAGCCACAAATGATCAAACAGTTGAAACTCAATGAAGAGCAGGACGTCCAGAGAATCTACCCAAAAACATGCCACGCGGTTATTAAAAATTTCCAGTGGCATATTGCCGCTTGTTTAGAGAGAAATGGTCAATCCCTAGAGATATAAGTAGCCACCAAGCTCCCTAGGTTTATTTGGTAATTAAATTTTTTTTGCATAAATTTGTTCTTCAATGCACAAATCATGGCTGTTTGAAATCAGTATGGTTGATTTTTAAGAAGTTGCAAAGTTTTGCCGTTCACTCAGTTTTGGTTCAAATTTAAAAGACTTGATTTTTTTGTTAACATGGTGCATGATTATTTCATTTTGACATGTAATTGTAGTTTTCTGTACAGAAAATTTCAAAATTCTGCCCCCAAATTGTGCATAAATTCTGCAAGGATTGCAGCTATGTCTAAACTTCTTTGTCCCTACTGTAATATAAGTATAAGTACTAATTCATCATAAGGGGAGAAGTAGCACTAGAGATACAAAAAACCCAACAATTAGCAGCATACAATCTGTATTTTTGTTTAGAAACACAAGCTTGTGTCACGATGTGCCCCAGGGCGAGGCCCGCTCAGTAGAGCTGTGCCCATTTAACTTTACTATTCGACATTCATGATTTTTTAAACTATTCACATCTATTCGAAGCGTGGTAGAGCCATTCGAATGCAGTGTGATTTAAAAACAACAACCAGATAATGGATTTTCGTCTCATTTTTCTCAAACTCAAACGTAGAAAAATTGGAGCACATTACATCTAAAATCATTAAGGCAAATATACAGAAATACTCTTTATTTGATGGTTACGAAACAGAGCGATACGAGGATCCTACAAGAGTTATTATAACACAATCCTTTAGAGCTGTTGTTATCGATCCAGCAACAGCTGGGCTCTTGTCCTTCTGTCCAATGCCATGTACTGATAAGTGCAGGTTTGCTGCAGTTGCTGTAATGTTCCATAGAGTGTGTTGTCAATGTTGGGTCTCGGAGGAAGAAGGGTAGCTCTTATGTCATTTAGGGCTGTGCAGTGGAACAAGTGATGATCCACAGTCTCATATGCATAGTCACAAAAGGGACACATTGGGGGAAGTTCCGGGTTTATTCTGTTCTGGTGGAAGTTGAGCTATATATATGTTCTGTTCGTAGGCGGAAGATCGTGGTCTGTTTCTTTCTCTGTATGTGGTTGATATTGTCATTCCTTTTTGTTGTGGTCATATGTTTGAAAACTGCTCTGCTTGACTTTCTGTTCATCCAATCTTGTTTGTTGTTGCTTTTAATGATTTGTTTTGCAGTGTTGTATGAAGTTGGAATGTTGGATTGTTCCTGTCTAGATCCCCGTTTGGCAAGTGTGTCTGCTCTGTCATTTCCAGGTATGTTTGAGTGTCCGGGGACCCATTGCATTACTAGGTTGATGCTACGGAATGTTTTCAGATGATGGGAGCCAAACAGTATATGAGTTTAGATGATGGTCATTTTCTATGGCTTGTAAGACTGATAGTGAGTCAATGAAAATCACAATACTCTGTGCTTTTCCAGGACGAGTGTCAAAAACTGTGCGGAGATGGTAGGCCTACAGTGCTGTTTCAATTGCCATCATTTCTGCATCGTAGTTCCTGCATTTCTCTCCACAGGCTGCAGAGATCTCATTGGAACTTCCATCTGGGTACTGTATTTGTACAGTGGAATCCTGTCATAACGAGAGGGACGGGACCGGTGCAAAACATCCGTTATAGCAGGGTCCTCGTTAAAAAGGATCCAGTAATAAATTCAATGGAATTAGCACAGTAAGCCGAATCTATACTATGAGTCTGGTTTTCTGTTTCTTTCTTTTTGTAATCTCCCCTGATGATGATTTGGTTCAACATGACCTCAAGGTCTAACTTGATCACAAATCGAACAAGGTTTCTTTCTCTAGCGTTAGCGATGTTGATAGCTCGGCGTCAGCGATCAGAAATAAAGTTCTCTAGGCTAACTCGCCCGCTGTGTTGTCCCCCACCCCACCACACCCTGCTGTGCGTTCCATCTATTTGCGCACGTCATACATTCGCTTCATCCATCACAGCACTGTGACCTCTCCATCCCCGCATTGGAGAAGTGAGAGGCATGCTAGACCTAGATAATCTAGACTAGGCTGGCCTATCACGTGATGCGTTCTGCTTGTCTGCGCATACCACATCCTCCCCATTCATTCGCTCCGCCTTCACTGTTGGCATACGTGGGCTCTCCCATTCTTTGTTTCGCAAGATCACCAATAACTGGCGAGGTTTTGCATGAATAAATGGCCTATGCGCTGTTCGCAACAGCAGCAATAGTCCGCGATAAGAGACTCGCATGTTTGTCTGATTGCGCAATAGCAGTACTTTATTTACAAAGATAAAGAAGGGAAAAAAATGGGATTTTAGAATAGTGTCTTTATAACAGACTTCTCGTTATTTCAGGACTCGTTATAAGTGGATTCCACTGTATTCCAT